AGATAAAGCAGATTCTAGTCAAATTTACTTTGGATATCGAGATCAAGGGATCGGGATTATGCATATATAACACAAAAGTTTCCAACTCTAGATATATTCTTATAAAGATAAAAGTAAAATATTACAAAATTCGTATCATTACTTCTTTTTTAATTAAAGAGAGAAAACTGCACAATTCAATCTTATCTTTCATTAGCTAGCATTCAAATAAATACAAAAAATATAATAACCAAAGTTATTAATGATCATATGATGATAATCCTGAAATCAGTTTTACAACAGTTTTAAGTTTTTTTTTAAAGAACATGATTTTTACACAAATCGGCGCATTTTTAATACTACTACAAAAGTTCATCAGTGTTCTATTTTTCATTCTAATTAGTTCTTAACTTTCTATAAATACCTAAATAAACATCTTTATAAAATAATAATATATTTTATAGATTTATATAAATAAGAAAACACGATTGATAAATTCTTTTTTAAAAACAAACATATAAACGTGGGAGTTTATTGGTTAGAATTATTTAACTCGACGAAATCGATGAGTTCTATTTAAGCTTAAAACTGCTGTCAAAGGGGGATTTAAAATATAACTCAACACTTTAGTCGTAGCTTTCGTTTTTTAGTTTTGGACTCTTAAAGGGACTGTAAGCGTAATTTCAAATGAACCTCCATGGAAAGACGGCAATACTGATTCACAACAACGGTACCTTAACTAAAAGCTTTGTCTGATCCAACATAAATTAGATATCAATGTTTATAATAATGAAAACTAATTAGTATTGCGGTTTCTCTACAAAAATGGTTTCTACTGCAGATTAGCATATATAGGAATTTTCAACATTTTTGAGCCTAGAAAACCGACGACATCTTCCGCATTATGGATTAGATAATGGATTCAAGATTACCGTTGTGAATCGGACATTGTCTTCTTTGTACGGAGAGTCACTTGAAATTACGCCTACAGTCCCTTTATTCTTATGGTTTAGGTAGATACAGTCCCTTTAAACTTATGGTTTAGGGAGATACAGTCCCTTTAATCTTATGGGTCAGGGAGATACAGTCCCTTTAATCTTATGGTTTAGGGAGATACAGTCCCTTTAATCTTATGGTTTAGGGAGATACAGTCCCTTTAATCTTATGGTTTAGGGAGATACAGTCCCTTTAATCTTATGGTTTAGGGAGATACAGTCCCTTTAATCTTATGGTTTAGGGAGATGAGTTGAGTAAGCAAGGACTAGAGATGACAAGGCAGGAGAAGGAAACAAGAAGAGGAAAAATTCACTAAAAACAGAAAAGAAAATTTTAGTTCCGATTTAAAATACATTTCACATCGTTTTGGTTAATATCTAAGATCAGAGCCCGAATTTAATAAATTTAAGCGCTTCTCAAATCCGCCAAAAACCGGTTTCAATTGAAACATTGAATACAATTTTAAGAGAAACCGACCATATTTGAGCCGCGTTCCAAATTTAAGCCGGGGCTCAAATTCTTTAAATTCGGCCTCAGAGTAAAAATTTTGCATAATGAAATAGAATCAAACTTATCCAGCATAACGTTTTGAAACAGGAACAACATCTACTCCCTAATAAATAACTTTGCAACCTGTTAGTGTAAATCTTTGATATTTCAAACTTAGACTATTTGATCTAACAGAATCCATAGTCAAATATTAAGGTAAAAACTCAGTTTCTTTTTCTCTGCCAACCAAGGATTTTGAAGAAAATAAATCGAAGCCTTAATAACGTCTCAATACTAAATTGAACCAATTCAATAAGAAAATGGAAAAATTCAATTTCTTCTCTTGATTGATGATCTCAGATTAAATCATATTTTTTGCTTGTTTTCAACGACAGCTTATTTTTTTGTTTTTAGTTTGGAAATAAAGTTTAATTAATAAAATCATTTTTTATCATTTTTTATTATTCTATCGATCTATCTTTTTAACTTCCTATCCTTGTATCTATCCATCTATCTATCTATCAATCTATCTTTCTATCTTTTTCTCTATTTATTTCAGTTCAAACTTATACACTACACCTCAAGAATTGAGAAGGATATTTAAAATATCGAAATATATTTTCTCTGGAAGCCATCAAGTTTTTTTTGAAGCAGTTGAAAAACTCTCTACCACAAAGGAACATTTACATTATTTATGTGCGTATCTATCTATCTATGTATCTTTCTATTTATCTATCTACCTTTTTTACACTAAACTAGGGTTTCCAATCGGAATTCCGTTGCGCGGAATTATGAGCAATGATTGCTTCCGCTTGTGCATTTCATTTAGAAAAATTGCGCTATAATTAAGAACAAGGAAGCATCAAATATTCATGGAATTGCGCGGAAATGCGGGAATTGCGTGCAACGGAATTGCTTTTAAATCTAAAAACCAATCATATTAACTGTGATGTATGCAGCAGATAAAAGAATGGGAATATCTCTGTAGATTTTAAAATATCCCTTGTTTCAACAGTTTTCAAATTTTTAAGTTTCTTGTGGTTAAGCTACTAATTAACAATTTAATATAATACATTTTTTATTTGTTCCCACTGGATATACATTAATATGGAAAGTTTTTTTGGTTAAAACTGTAAGGTTCGTTTAATCAAAATTAGATATTTTGCTACAGTGAGAACCAGAAAACTAAGGAACAGAAGGACAACATTGCATTGTATTTGATGTCGTTACAAACACAAAAAGTTATTATTAGTAAGCTATCAAATCACTTGTTCAGTTAACTGGGTCTTCTTAAGTCTAAAATGTCGTCTTCCTATGCCATGCAGTTTTTCGGTTATCATTCTGCATATGAATATTATAAAATTAAATAAAGTTTAAATTCAATTTTCATAGCATTTGATACTGAAATGCTAGTAAAGTTCTGAATTTATTGCATATCACTAACAAAGTTTAAATTGAACTTTTTTTGTTGTTGAACTGAATTGCGCAATAATTAATTGCATTTATTGCGTGCCAATCTAAATTTTTTTATTAACACAAAACATATAGTTTTAAAAAGCATGAGTTTGAATACGAAGATTACATAGTGTTATTTTTTTAATGAAATATAATTACAAGGATATTTTGATTTTGCTTGTTGTGGACAATGAATAGGGTCGCAATTTATTGGAAAAACTTGTTCACATTTAATGCAAGTGCATACGTTTACTAGGTGTGTGTTCAACTTGTGGTGCGGATTGATTGAGCAATCTTTAAAATGTTCAGTTTTCATCCACTGGGTATGAGGTATATGCCCGGGTCCTTCTGTCCTATTCCAAACACAACGTCCTGTATCACAGGGTTTTTCCGATCTAAACACAGGGAACAAAGGTTTATCTTCATTACATTTATGACATAATTGATGTTTGTCCATCTCTCCTGGAATAATGTCCGTGTCCATTTCAAAGTCCATTTTCTAGCTCAGTTGGGATTCAGGTGGATGAGTATCGACAGAACCTTGAATATCAGCTCTATTATTTATATTTAACCCTGATTGTTGTTTTTGTTGAGCCAGGTTTACAGGTTTTATATATGTACTGCAAGGGGTATTGACAAAACCTGTCTCTGTTTCAGGTTCATCCGGCTGCTGATCAGCTGAATTTCCATACCCTGCATGTTCAGGGATAGATACATTCTCCCTTCCAAATGGTTTTCCTGCAGCCAGAGCTTTTTTCAACAGCCAGGCCTCTTTTCTTTCCCTGTCCTTCCTAATTTTGGAAGGTTCTTTTGATTTCCTTCCCGTGGAACCTGAGGTCTAGGTACGGAGGAGAACGTGGAACCTGAGGTCTAGGTACGGAGGAGAAGGTGGAACCCTGGGGTCTGGTGACTGATGAGAAGGTAATTGTTTCCTTCCCATTCTTAGTCTCCAGAGTCATCCTAGCCCAGATCCCTGCTGATCTACACTGATTGTATAATCTTAGAATGGCAGGGAAAGTATTCACCCCTGCCATCTTGTTTTAGCTCTAGTGTACTGCATGTACCAAGGTCAGCTGAATACTGAGGTCAGCTGAATACTGAGGTCAGCTGACTTCTGAATACTGAAAAATTGAAACACAACCGCAAGAAAGTTGAATGGAATTGCAAATCCACTTGCGTTGGAATCTAAACAGAAAGCAAAGGTCAAACTTCTGAAATAATACTGGTACGATTTTGTGACCTTGTAGCTCCTAAAGTTTTAAAATTACGTACAAGTATAAAAAAAATTTGGTTACATACATGTCAGAAATTAAAAATGTTTGTTCTTCAATATCTCATAAATAAAGGATTTCTGATTGAAAACATTTTAGATTTCAATCTTTCGTGCAATTTACTTTTTGAGGTACCTTTGTTAATCGTTTGTGCAAATCTATGGATTAAGGGGGAATTCAAATTAAGTCTGCAGGCCCTTTACTCCAGAATTTTTAGACTTTTATAAATATAAAATAAAAAATTTAACATGAAAATTTAGTTTTTACGCTTTCCTGTTCCAAGTTTAAACTGGGATTTTTAAATTGAACATATCTCGAATAAAATTGCTAGCTCAATCTTTGCTTTGTCTCAAATTAAGAATATCTTACCATTAAATATTCGTCTACTTGTTTATAACTCTCTTGTAAGGCCTCATATTGAATATGGAATTGTTACTTGGGGAGGGGTTAAAAACTTTAAACTGCAAAAAAACCAGATCTTTGCAAAAAAAAGGCAATCAGAGCGGTTAATAATAGTACTTTCAAGACACATTCAAATCCATTATTTTCAAAACTGAAAGTTCTTAATCTTAAATTATAAATTAGAACGGGTTTTAATCAAAAATTTAGAAAGCTTTCCGTCCGCAATATTTCCTAAATTGTGGAATGAAATTGAAATTGACCTTAAAGAAACCTAAATCTGCAAAAATATTTAAACAACGAGTAAACAATATTTATCTTGAGAATTATGAGAGGTTTAAATGCAAAAAACCTAGCTGTATATCGTGTGAATAAATTTTATAAAAAAAAACTAAAATAACTGAAAATTTATTAGCTTATTTCTGTTTCTGTAACTAACATCATTAACACCCTGTATTTTAATTCATCTCTACACAAAAATCCCTCTGATCTCACCCTGCCACAGATCACCTGACAATCTCCTTCCTTCCAATCAACTCCTTACCTATCCAAAAACATATCTTGATATGTGTAACCAATTATATTCAGTATCGTTAATTAACTTCGGGCCAACCACTCAAAACAACCAACCATGGTTAGGCGGGTCCAAACTTCATAGTAAATTGTGATTGCTTATTTTTAATATCTCATGCTTTGTAGGTCAAATTTACGTTAAATTCAAATCTAACCATTATTGAATTAGAGCTCATTCTGCTGAAATTCCCAAATGTGTAATCTTTTATTTATTTTACTACTTTTAAGTGTTAATGTAATGAATGCCGTATTCTTAAAACTTCATCCCAAACCGTATCAGTCCGGGTACAATCAGTCCGCTATCCAAGTCAACAAGGACACAACCCACCTCGCTCTGAATGCCACACATAGCTTATCAATCTAGCTACTCTTCAGGCTCTAAATGTCACAAAGAGGCACAAGCGTAGCTTATCAATCTAACTCAGGCTCTAAAGGCCACACAAGGACAAAAGCATTGCTATAAAACAAGCTATTACTTTGGCTCTAAATGCCATACCAGGAAACAAGCGTAGCTATCAAACAAGCTATTACCTCGGCTCTAAATGCCAAACAGAGACACAAGCGTAGCTATCAAACAAGCTATTACTTCGGCTCTAAATGCGACACAGAGACACAAGCTTAGCTATCAACAAGCTATTACTTCGGCTCTAAATGCCACACAGAGACACAAGCTTAGCTATCAACAAGCTATTACTTCAGCTCTAAATGCCACACAGAAACACAAGCTTAGCTATCAACAAGCTTTTACTTCGGCTCTAAATGCCACACAGGGACACAAGCTTAGCTATCAACAAGCTATTACCTTGGCTATAAATGCCACGCAGGGACACAAGCTTAGTTATCAGCAAGCTATTACTTTGGCTATAAATACCATGCAGGGACACAAGCTTAGTTATCAGCAAGCTATTACTTTGGCTATAAATGCCACACAGGGACACAAGCATTGGCTCTCTATCAACCCATTAATCGATCTCTTCCCTAAACGAAGTATGATCTCAACCCCAAATACTCAACCGGGTGCAATTACACTATAATGTAATCAAATCGGAGGTCTGATTCAACCTAGCTATATTTAAGGTTTATATATTGCACGTTAAAGTTAAAAGACGTAATTACAATTCCTACGTTGTCATTTGAAACACAGTTCAAGTAAATAATGGAATTTTTCGTACAAGATTACAAACATAGATAATTAGTAAT